CCCCATTTCTGATATTCTCCCTCCCCGCCCCAGGCCAGATGGTAGAGCCAGGTCTTCAAATCCCTCCAAAAGGCCTGGAGTGAGGGGGCCTGTCTCACCTCTGGGGGCAGACAAACTGGGCTTAGGAAACATTATTTCTCTGCCTTTATTGCATTCACCAATTGCTGCCCGGCAGTCCTGCTTAGGGTGACCTGTTCCTTGCTGAAGAGAGACAGATCCCAGGAGCATCGACAGGGCTGTGGTGAGGAGTATTCATGCTATCTGGCAGATAAAATCTTGAAGTTGGAGTCTGAGCAGGTCCTAATGAGTTGCCTGGGGCATAGTCTTGTGATGTTATCTGAACTGAGTTTGATTCTGTAACTCCTGATGAAGTGGATAAGGTCCTCTGAACTGTGAGTTTGGCCATCTGTTTGTTAGATCCAGGCCCCTCCTGGGTTTTCAAGGCAGCCTGAGAGGTGACCTGTGATTGGGACCATGTAATGGTGTTGACTTCTTGAAGGAGGGGGGTGGTGTGCCCCCTTCTCAAGAGGCCATTGCTAGACCCTTTCATTCTGGACTTTCCCTTTGTGGGGAAAGTTGTTAAGAAGGTGGTTGAAGAGCAGCTGCAGAGAGTCTTGGAGGAGATGGATTATCTGGATCCATTCCAGACATATTTCAGGCCAGGGTACAATACTAAGATAGCATTGGTCATGCTTGTCAATGACCTTTGGTGGAGCTGGGATGGGGGTGGTGCATCCAGCATTGTGCTCCTTGATTTCTCATATCTTTCAATACCATCAACCATGGTATCCTTCTGGACCAAATGCAGGGGTCAGGAGTTGAGGACACTGTGCTACAGTGGTTGGCCTTCTTCCTTTGGTTGGTTCCAGTCAGTTTTGACAAGGGGGGGAGAGGTAAAACCTACAGCCCCTCATTGGGGGTGTCTCAGGGCTAGACTCTCACCCCTCTTGTTTAATAGCTACATGAAACTACTGGGTGAGGTCATCTGTCAGTTTGGGGTCCAGTATCATCAGTATGCTGATGATACTCAATTGTATATAACTCTAGGCTGTGCATGTGAAGCTGGTGTCTGGATGCTGTTTGGGTCAGGATGGAGAAAAACAAGCTCAACAGTGGTAAGTTGTACTTTGCTATTTGGTATTAGCATGCAATTTGGGAGTCCTCCTGAACTTGTAGTAACTGCTTAAAGAGCAGGTTGCAGCTTGGCTAGGAGGGTTTTTGCACAGGTCTACCTCATACGCCAGTTGTGCTCTTTCTTCAACTGGGAAGGTCCTCAGATGGTCACTCGCATCCTAATCACCTCATGACTGGACTATTGCAATGAGGTCTACATAGGACTTGAAGACTGTCTGAGAGTTACAGCTGGTGCAAAATGCAGCAGTGCAGGTAGTAATGGATGTTTCTCACTACATCTCCAACAGTACAACTGGGCAGAGTGAATGCACTCTGGGTTCCTTCAGTTAAATATTGTCATCCTTTGGGACTGAGGAAGTATGCCTTCTCTGTTGCTGCCTCCATCTCTGGAACAGCATTCCCTTGGAGATACATATGGCTCCCACCCTTCAAATGTTCTGTAGGTCTGTGAAGACTT